GGGAGGTTCGAGAAGAGAGAAAGTTCATGGGAGAGAGAGTGAGAGAAGAGAGCGGAGAGTGCTGGGCCCGAGAGGGTTTAGGGAGAGGGGGAGAGACCAAGAGAGTGAGAAAAGAAAAGAGAGAGAGAGAGAGAGAGACAGGAGAAGATAGAGAAGAGAAGAAAAAGAGAGAGACGGGAGAAGAGAGATAAGAGAAAGAGACCGAGAAAGAGAGGGAGAGTAAGAGAGACCGAAAGTAGAGAAAGAGAAGAACTTAGAAGAGTAAGAGGGACCGAGAGATTGGGAGAAAAAAGAGATCAAGAAATTTGAGGGAGAAAAGAGAGACCGAGAGATTTGAGGGAGAAAACAGAGACCGAGAAAGTTAAGGGGGGGGAGAGAGACAGGGAGAGAAGGGGACAGGCTCGGGCTCGGGTTCGGGCTCGAGCTTTGGCTTGGGTAGAAGGCCCGGCTGAGCCCGTATGTGAAAAAGAGCGTGAGAAAGGGATGAGGGCAACCAAGGTTTCAAAAAACACTAAACGGCCCCGAGGCTACCTGGCGCCCAAAGCCTAGGTGGGCGCAATGTAGTTTTTTTCACTTTGGGGGTTTTCATATATTGAGGGTTTTTTTTTTTTAACTTTGGGAGCTAAAAATAAACCCCATAAAGTTTTTATACAACCTTGGGGGTCAAAATGACTCCCTTTACCCTTTTGAACGATTTAATGAAAAAGGCCTCATAGCCCTGGGCGCTTGCCCAGGTACATCCGCCCATGTAGGGCTGCCTGGGTCTAGGCGTGTGGATTTTTGGTCCAGGCCACCTTGGCGCCAAACAAATCGTTTTTTACAACATTGAGGGCAACAGTAGAGCTGCTGCTGGCAGTGAGGGATGAGAAGAGATGGAGAGAGGGAGAGAAAAAGACAGAGAGAAAGAGAGAAGGGGGAAGAGAGAATGGGAGACAAAGAGAGAAGGGGGGAGAGAGAGAAAGGGAAAGAGAGAGAAAGAAAGGAGAGAAATAAACAGAGGGCAGCTGCTACTCGTAAAAGTGGGGAGAAACAGAGAGAGAGGGAGTGAGATAGAAAGAAAGAGAGAGAAGGGAGAGAAAGAAAGAGACATTACGGGGAAAGCTGGGAAAGAAAGAGCGATTGAGGAGAGAGGGAACAAAGTAAGAAGGAGAAGAAGAGGAGACAGAAGCTCAGCTGTTGTGTCATGAGAGTTTAGAGAGAGAAGGAGAAAAGAGATTTCGGGAGAGAGAGAGAGCGAGCGAAGGGGGAGAGAGAGGGTAAGACAAGAGAGAGAATAAGAGACAAGGAGGGAGAGAGTGAAACCGAGAAGAGGGGAGAAGACCGAGAGATAAAGGGAGAGGGGGATTGACGTGTGAGAGAGAGAGAGGGAGAGGTTTGGAGAGAGAGAGAAGAGAAAGAGTGTTGAGCCCGCCGCCTAGATTGCGAGCCCGAGAGGGTTTAGGGAGAGAGAGAGAAAAGGAGGGAGAAAGATCGAGAGAGAGAGGGAGAGGGGGAGAAGAGAGTAACGGGCTGGGCCTACAGCCTAGGCTGCGGCACGAGTAGAGTAGAGAGGGAGAGAGATAGGGTGAGAGAGAGAGAAGAGGCTAGGCCTTAGGTTGCAAAAATTTGGAGGAGAAAGAAAGAGGAGATCGAGGGAGAAAGAGACAGCGAGAGATTCAAAGTAGAGAGAGAGAGGAGAGAAAGAGAGAGAAATTGGGGCAGCATCTCTATTGCTGCTCATGAGAGAGAAAGAGAGTGAAGAGAAAGAGAGAGACCGAGAAGAGAGGGGAGAAGACCGAGAGAAAGGGAAAGGGGGATTAGCACATGACAAAGAGAAGAAAACAGGAGGAGAAAGAGAAAAAGAGAGATCAGAGAAATTGGGGGAGAAGGACAGAGAGAGGAGATCGAGGGAGTGAGAGAGCGAGAAATTCATGGGAAAGAGAGGAAGAGAGAGTTTCATGAGAGAGAGACAGAGGGAGAGAAGAGAAAGGGAGAGAAAGAGAGGAGGGAAAGAGAGAGATATTGGGGCAGGCTGCTGTTCACGAGAGGGAGAGAGTGAAGAGAAAGCTAAAGAGAGAGGGAGAACAAGAGGAGAGAGGTTCACGGGAGAGAGAGGGAGAAACCGAGAAGAGGGAAAGGAGGGGCAGCAGCCCTACTGCCGCCCGCAAGGGAGAGAGAGAAGGAGATAGAGAACAGCGTTCGGGAGAGAAAGGGAGTGAGAGAAGAAAGAGAAATGGGAAAAGAGAGAGAATGAGAGAAGAGGGGGAAAGTATTAGGCCAGCAGTCTAAATTGGGGGCTCAAAGGGGGGTACAGGATGAGAGATAAGAGAGAGAAAGGGAGAAAGAGAGATAAAGAAGGAAAGAGAGAGAAAGAGGGGAATGAAAGAGCTAGGCCCGCAGTCGAGAGGGTTAGAGAGAGGGGAGAGAGAGAAGGGAGACTAAAGGAAGACAAAAAAAGAGAGAGTTGGGGCCACAGTCTAGACCATGGGCCCAAGAGTGCTAGAGAGAGACGGTGAGGAAGAGAAAAAGTGAGAAGAGAAGAGATGAGGGAAGAGAGAGAGAAGAGAAGAGATCAGAGAAGAGAGAGAAAGAGAATCGTGCACCTAGGTGGGCTCGAGTCCTCGGCTTGGCTTGGTTCGATGTGGACCCTTTGAGTGACTAAGGGAGGTTGGAGCCTTGAAACTCTAAGGGCATTCTCTCTCTTAAACAAAATATTCTCCCTAAGAAAAAAGAACTAAGGCATCACTCCATCTCAAGCTAAATGATCAAAATTTTACTAAATTTTCCAAGAGTCCTTAGAGCTTACATGTTTATACAGGCATCCACCAAAACAAGGGTGGATGCTCAAAAGTAGCCTAAATTTACCAAAATTACAATTGCAAGGGTTTATGAGATTGCATTACTTGCTTCTGTTATCAACTGATTAATACTTTTAACGTTTTTCGTATCAACTGCATGGTGGTAGTTATATGGACTCCAACCCCACAACTATCCCTCCTTTGGATGTGAGAGACACTAGAGTATGTTCCAATGGATTCCTACCCCAAGATAGAACAAGCTGAAACAAAAGAGGCTACATCAGCTAGTTTATGTTCACTATAATCTCAACGTGAGGTAGACGATGCTAGTGAGATAACACACCAATTACAACTCAATTAACCTAGACTGCATATTCTAGGAGGACCTCTCAGAGGAATGGGTGGTAGAGCCGGAGCAGCGGGAGCCAACGACAGTGAACAAGGAGTACTTGAAAGAACACATTCAACAATTAGATGATCATGTGGAATCCTTAAGGACCATCTAGTAGGATGAGCAGGACAAAAGAGTTGAAACGACAGGGGGAGGGGGGGGCATGTTGGGGAAAGCACCACTGATGAGGACGACCAAGTTGGTTGGCAATCGCACGAGATAAAAGTTTAAGCCAACATCATGGCAAACAACATAGCCAGCTACTTAGCCAAGATGCTAAGGAGCAAGATGATGTTGGTGAGGGAGGATCGCATGGCGCGATTGGAGGGGTAGGGAGCTTGAGGGTTCAACGAGTCTAGGGGACTATGGCTAGGGGGCTAATTTAACGGATGCTCCTATTCAGTAGGAGGGTACAGCCAAGATAGGGGCGGCTCCCTCAATCTCACATATTTTTAGCCAGGGCCCGACCATGATAGCGAGACCCAAGAAAACTATGAACCCTAGAGTCACTTTTTAATCTAGCTTTTTTCATTTTGTTTTATTGAAGAGATGTACATTACATGAAATTTTCATCACGAAAACATATTTCACAAGTATTGCGTACTATATGAGCTTCACCAAGGAATTGTC